TGTTTCGAAGCTGGTAAACCCAGCACCACTGGCCTGCCATCCTCTTCATATCGTACCTCTTCCATCTCCTCACCCCTCTTCTGCTTTCGCCCCTCCTGCCCGAAGCTACCAGTCCGAGGGTTCACCCACACCGAGGACTGAATTGGAGGCCGCAAGAGTTGTGGGATGAAGGCAGTCTCCTCCACTCGATACCCGATGACTTCAGTGGATAGCTCAGGGCCGTAGTGTTCAATCCCAATTGGGTCTGGGAATGAACAATTCGGAGCTATGTGGCCAAGCCTGCCACAATGATAGCACAACATCGGTAGGAACTCATAAACCAATGTCACCCAGAACTCCCCTGCTAGAGGGTTACTCGCGTACACCTGCGATCGAAGGGGCTGCATCACATTAATCAGCACCTTGGCCTTGAAGAAGTGTCCCGGCATGCCTTGAATTGCATAGGCTCCTGCCTCCATCACTGTGCCAATCTTCGCCCCTGCCACCCGCTTCCCAAATGCTACCATTCGACAGTGAGTAGGGATTCCCCACATTTGAACCCAAAATGGAACCATTGTGAAGGAATCCACTAAGGGCTTAGTAATCTGACTCCATGGTTTCAACTGAAGAACCCGCTCCTTCACTGTCCAAGAAGTCCTGTGCAAAACCCAGTCTCGATCTGCCTCATCTGCAAAAAAGAACTGCAGCAGCCCAATTTCAGCCTCCAGCACCCTGACTTCCACCGCGCAATTCCACTCCCCATTCACTATCTTGCTGATAACCGCCAAGCTCGGCGGGTTATCCATGAACAATCTGCCCAGTAAGCTCATCTTAGCCCATTGCACCCCTGTAGCCACATCATCCATCGAAAATTCCACAACTTGATCCATCGCCATGGCTTGGATCCCTGCATCCACTTCATCTACCTTCATCGCATCGACCTTCTTCTCAATTTCACGTTCACCAGCCACCAGCAGCTCGGGTAGCATCGCCGTCACCTGTTCAGCAGGCACACCACCAGAGCTCGACCTGTTCTCCCCAGTCACCGTCGCCTCAGGCAGCAGCGCCTTCATCTGATCAGCTGGAACACCACCAGAGTTCGACATTTTCCAGGAACAGAGTCTCTGGATACACCAATAAAGACCCCAGATTAGGCCGATGAGTAGCAACACCAGTATGCATACGATACCCAGAAATCCCAACCATGCAAACATAAAGATTGGAATCATACCTCTCGAACAAATCCACCAACGATTTGGAACTTCTCGCCGCCGATATAAACTCCACCAATGAAGACACCGAGCTTTGGTTGGTGAGTTTCCCAGCCTCGTCCGAGAGACTAAATAGGTCCATTCTGGAGCTAATCGGAGAACCGTACTCTGGACGGATTCTCGATTCGGGTTTATCTTCCCCGATTTGGGAATCTGGATATACCGTGAGAAATAATCTATTTCTCTGAATCTTCGATTTGTAGCTGTTCCTCCCCAACTAGTAGACCCGATTTTAGAAGCCTCCTCAATCTCCTCCTCCCTGGAATCAGATGGAAGCACGGCGCCGATTGTTAATCTCTTCGACACCAAATGAGCGACCGTCTTCGAAACCCTAATTAGGCTGCAGATGACGGCTGCGATACAAACGAGGAGAGATGCGAGAGCGTCTCGCATTTTTTTTATATTATGGATTTTAAGAAAATACCAAAAATTGAAACATGAATAATTAATAAGAAATTAAAAAATTAAATATGAAATATAAATCAAAATAATGTGAATATTAATAATTAATAATTGAGATCATGGAAAATATTTATAAATTAAAATTTTGGTTAATTTAAATATTCAATAAAGTTATCAATTAAATATAACTAATATAAACTAATGCATTTGATAATTTGATGCTTTTAAAAGAATAAGAAATTATGTTCTTTGAATTTAATAGAAAAGAAAAAGGGAGAATTTTGGTTAATTCACCTTTTTGGAAGAGAAAGAAGAGGGAAATTATGTTCTTTGAATTTTTTTAGAAAAGACAAAGGAAGAATTTTGATGGTTTTGATTTGTGGGAAGTGAATAAGTGGGAAAGTTTGGTTCTTTTGATTATAAAAGAGAAACAAGGAGAAATTTTTTGAGTTTTCAACTTTTTGTGAAAGGAAGGAAGGAAGAGGGAAATTTAGTTCTTCAAATGAAAGAGAAAAAGGAGGGAAATTTCAAATTTGGTTCATTCAATTTTATAGAAGAAAAAGATGAGGGAAAATTGAGTGATTCTAATTTATGTAAGAAGAAAGAAGGATGAGAATTTTAGTATTTTAATTTTTTTTTGAGTAATTTATGATTGAGAGTAAGGCCCTAATAACTTTTAGTAATTTAATATTTAGTTAATATGTTTAGGCTATACGATCAACAACATATATTCACTAAATATTGTCGATTGAGAGTAAGGCTAAGTGTATAGGATATATGTTATTGAGTAAGTTATGATTGAAGTCACAACAATTTTACTAAATTTGATAGTTAATCTTTAATGATTCAATTTTTTGGGTAATTCGAACAATTTTACAAATAACTCGTTTGGCAACAGTTTACTGAAGTTATTAGGGCAATGAGTTATTTCGAAATAACTCCTTTTACCACTCTGCTTTGCCAAATACCACACGCCAAATACCAGATTTGTATGGTTATTCTAAACGAGACTATAATCCAAGTACTACTGAAATAATATTAAAATACCAAATAAATAATTAACGGTGTCTTTTGGTTGCAAATGTTGATATAACCATTACTATTAGCTAGTGTACTTTACAAATTATGATTAATTAGATAACAAGTTTGCAATTCATATAAATTGATTCAACATTTTGACTAGTTTTTTAAAAATTAAGTATATATACGAGGTAGAAAGAAATTGGTTAAAACTAAGAAAAATATTTTAAATTAGTGTAATAAAATGTGTAAGTTGGTAAAGAGTAAGGAGTAAGTTACTGGATGCGCTAACCCGAACAACCCACAACCCGATCCGCCGGCAACCCGCCCGACCCAATACCCGATGAACTCGCAACCTGTTTGAACCTAAAACCGATGAACCCGCAACCTGTTTGAACCCAAAACTGAAGAACCCGCAACCTGTTTGAACTCAATAAACCCGCAACCCGGTGAAGAGAAGCAAGGCGTAGCACCAAGGATTTCACACCCGCAGTGTAGTCGTCGCAGTCCGCCATCTAGTTCATCACCGTAATCATCAATTTTCTGGTTGCCATTGTCGCTGCCAGCTCTTTTGTCTCTTGACTTACTCGGTGGAAGAATGGTGATGTGAGGGTAAAAAGAAAGTCGCCCGAGCTTCCCTCCCGGTCTAAATAATCCCACCACCAACTCCATATCTGTCCCAGCCAATTCCCAAAACCTTCCGTCCCAAGAAAGCCTGTCGTCGTGCCTTGTGATTATTTTGGAATCTCGACAATAGCAGAGCAGAAGACGATGCTCGAGGAAAGATAGCAATTCCGCCTGTTATGACTACAACATTTCAATCGATGGCTAAGTATAACCGCCGATCGGGTGCAGCATAGGGCAAGCAAGCAATAAGAATTTATCGTACCACGGGGATCTAGGCTTACCCTACTTCAGGTTTAGGGTTCGTTATCTAGCCAATCCTAGGATAGTGATTAATAAAACTAAACTAACTAACCTAGACTAACCACTAACCTAGCTATTTACAAGGTTTGGAGCTCTCTTGGGTTGAATCGTCCTAGGTCCGTTCTTTGGATCGATGTTGGATATCCTCCTAGCTCGATTGACTCAAATACACTACCGCTTGGAGATGGAATCCCTCGGGAATGACTCGGAACGGCGAATCAATGGATGGATAGTGCTCTATTCAACCTAGGGTATCGTATATTGTTAGGAGACCGGTCGAATCAACTCCCTCGGGGACTACCCGGTGAATATACGATAGGAGTGGCCCGAAGTCGCCTAAAAGGGGGCACTATGGGGATTATCCCACTCCTAGATCAAAGGCCCAAAGCATCAAAATGGAAATCACACTCATGCCATTCAAGAAAACATTCATCAATTAAGTAAAATCAACAATCAAACTAGAGATTTTGTCACATACATCAACAACAAACCCAAAACTAGACCTAGGGTTCTTAAACCCAAGAGAAGAAGGTGAGTTTCTACAGAGAGAGAGTGGAGGTTACAAAGAAACCTCTAGATCTTCTTCTTCTAGGCTTGATTCCTAGCTTCCAAGCTTGATCAATGCCTTCAATTAAGCTCCAAGATCACTCCCCCTCTCTCTAGAACTCCCCTTTGGTGTTTTGGGCAAACCCTAGAGAGGGAATTGAATTTCTCTCCAAAAACTAGCTCTCATTTCTCTCTCCCCGCTGCTGTTTTCATATTTGCCCGAAAGTGACCGTGAATTGCCTTGTCGTTAGTAACTTCTGGAACCTCGCTGGACGCCTCAATGTTCACGGTTTGTGCTTCCAGTTCACGGCCTTAGGAGACCATGAACTGCCTTGTCTGACCGTGAAATACGGCTGCTTCCTGGATGCCTGCGCTTCATTGTTACGGGGCAATTGTCATGGTCTTCATACTTTTCTTCAGTTTTTGCACTTTTTTACCTCCAATTATCCCAAAATTCGACCTTGACCCTTCCACACGTGATAGGACCTGAAATGTATCAAAACAAACACAACCTAGTGTGAAATATGTTGAGGGACGATGAAATACTAAGATAAACGAATACGAAATGAGGGGTAAAATGTGTACATTTGGGCCCAAATCATTCTGTTGCTCTCCATCGATCAACTGCGGTACAAGGCCCAGATCGACCAAATGGCCCCACTCGCATCTGACTTTGATTGGACACCCTTCTTCTCCTCTGTTCCTTCCCACTCGCATGACTTTCTTTCGTCCCTCACCATTGTGACTTCACCAGCGCCGGTGTCGATCCTAACGTTCGAGCAAGCAATCCTCCTCCGCCATCCCTCAATCCCTACATCCAAGTTGTTTCTCCTCCTTCCAGCATCGATACTAACGCTAATCCATCGATTTCAAAGTCGCGATCATCATCAGATTTGCTGAGATTTTGGAATAGACGATGATTGTGCCGGCGAGGAAAATAGAGACTCGATCGACGGAAATGGATGGAACAGAGTGTTCGCTGATGAGGCCGTTGCGGTAGCAGAAACTGGAGGGGAGATCTTCGGCTGTTGTAGCAGCTCCAAGCCGACGGCAGAAGGAGCTCGCAAGGGGCTGAGGAGCGGCTCTGATTTCACGGACTAGGCCGCTGTGGTAGTGGAATCCGGCAGGGATCGTCGGCGCTCCCCTATTTTCCATGGTTAACGCTGACGAATCTTACCAGCTTGTAATTGGGCTCCTGGGTGGACCCGAACCCGAATCTCTCACAAATGAATTGGTCTTTTGGCCCGCGGTTTGACAGAGATGTGGTGAAGTCGTTGAAAATGGGTAGCAGGGCGAATTGCTTGGTGGCGGGATTCCAGAGTATGAAATGGGCGGTGAACTTGATGCTGAGTAGGACGTTGCGGGAGTCGAGGATAGAGGGGGAATGTAGTCGGGCGTCGAATACGGTGACCGGAAACGGGAAATCGCGGTGGAGGGTTGTGAAGGTGCTGTCGATGACTGACATGCGGCGATTCCGACCGAGGGTATGACCGTGGTTCACGATGAGGAGAGGGTTGCTGGCGGATGACCAGCGGAAGTGGGCGGCGATGAAATGGGGTGTGGTGGGAAGACTGGACCAGTGTTTTGAGACAAATTTGAATTGGAGAATGGATTTCACCGGTAAACGGTATAGGATGTCGATCACGATATCCCCTGGGAGTCATTTCATTATTTTTTTTACAAACAATGATCGGTCCTATATGCTTGATTTTGTTTTCTAATTAATATTTAACTATTTAGATCCTAATCATCCAATTTCATTTAGTATAGATATGAATTTTGAAATTTTATATGGTTTTGATGGTTCTTTTTATGTATTTTAGTGTTTTGGTATGTATTATTGTGTTTATGGTATGTATTTAGAAGTTATTGATATGAAGATTTCAAGTATCTCATAAGCACACCAAAAACTTACTAATATAAACCACAAAATTGGTAAACAAACCATAAAATTCATATCAGAAACCTTCAAATGCAAAGCATAAGTCTCGTAAAACATACCAGCAATACAAGAAAGCAAACCACATATATTTCTAAAGCACACCAGAATCTTCATAAAATAAACCACAAACATTATAAAATAAGCCACAAAAAGCATACAAAAAATCTCATAATGCGAACTACAAATCCTCTAAAATATACAAGAAATCCCACAAAGCAAACCACATAATTTTCAAAAGCAAACCAAAAACCTCATAATGCAAACCAAAAACACTGTAAAGCAAACCACAAAAAGCAAACCAGAAACGTCCTAATGTAGACCACAAATATATTAAGGCAAACTAGAAACCTCACAAAGCAAACCACAAAATTTTCGAAAGCACACCAGAAACTTCTTAATGCAAACCACAAAAGGCATACAAAAAACATGAGAAACGAACCATAAATCTCAAAATTGAGACCATAATATATGGTGGTCAACGAAGATGGTTGACCAAACTTCGATGACCTTCGGTGACCTGATTCCGGTGCCGATAAGCATATTCCGGCATCGATGACCAGATCCCGACGCCTATAAGCATATTCCGACCACGGTGATCGGATTCCGGCGACAGTGGGTATATTTTGGCGACAAATAGCATATTCTAGTGGCCGGTGGTCGGATTCCGGCACCAAAATTTTGGACAGAAAATAAAAAGCATGTTTTAAATATTATTTATTTATTATTATTATTTAAATAAAATACTCATATTGACAATTATACCCTTACTTTGATTTTACACTAGGTCAACTCAGCTAATAAAAAGTCATCACAACCCTAACTTCCTATTAATTGAAGACTAGTGTTGTTACCCTAACAACAAAAAGGGTGTTGTTATAGTAACCGGTCTCTAGATCGCAAACCGTATATCTCTACCTTCCATCACATGGGATTGGGCGGCAGAAAAGTTTTCCCTTTTTCTTTGTATTTATACACACGCACGACCAGTGGCGGAGCTACTTGGAGAGGAGGGGGTGCTTGCACCTCCCTTGGGTTTGGAAAAAAATTCCCCGAGTAGGGGTATATACGAATTCGAACTAGTGACCATTCAATAATAAGTAGAGTTCCTAACCATCTCAATCGAGTGATCTTTGTTATACGATGGACCTTTGTCTTTATTTATAATAATAAACAGTTGTCTTTTGTTTAAATTTGCTCATTTCTTTTGCAGCTTTACAGTAGAGAAATGTATTGTCTTTTGTTTAAACAAAGCTGAAAGTGAAGAAGTACCAATTGAAGTTCACTTGTTTGTTTCACAAATCAATTCCAAGGTACTTCTGAGTTCTAATTTGTAATATTTGATGAATGAAAGTCTTCACTTGTATGTACTGAACTTATTTGTTTGACGTTGTAATCGGTGTACGTGAAACTATTTTATGTAATTGTATGAATATAGAGTATTGGGTGATAGAAACTCACTTTCGTTCGGTTTCTACAATTATTGTTATATTTGAATAATTAGTCTTTTAATCGCATTAGGATAATTGTTAGGGTTTTCTGGTTCTTTTCCTATATATATGTACGTCATTATTCATCTATTCAATCAATAAGAAGAATATTAAGAAAACTCTCCTAATTCTTAATTTCTCAATCCTCTCAATTCTTGATCTTACTCCCTCTAAAGGCCTAGGCCGATTCTCTATCTTCTTCCCCAAATTCTTATCTAAATCCCTAAATCTCCATCAATTTCCAATTTCTCAACCCAATCGATAGAACCCTAGAAATAAGTTATTATCATTGCGTTGTTGACTTTTTGTTTCATTTAAAGTTGACTTTTCTATTATATAAGCGATTTTTATGATATGATAAAGACACTCACTTAATCAATTTTCTCGCTCCGCCACTGCGCACGACTAGGAAAGAGGCTTTTAGGCGTATTATATCTTTTAAGTGATATATGTATAATGCGTGGTGGACGTTTTAAGTGATATATGTATAATGCGTGGTGGACATGTGTGGAGGCCAGTTGGTTTAGGTTAGGTTTGGTTTGGTTTATAATGCGTGGTATATATAAATTAATCAGGAGTAGAAAACAAAATTATTTCGCCTATGTACTATTATAGAAAAATATTTGGGATATTTATTTCATTTAGATTATATTGTCTAGAGAGATAGAAGATAGACAGAAACCTAAGTTCAAAACTCAACATGACGTACGTAGGCAAGGTTGTCAAATTGGTTTATGCCAGTCTGGCAAGTAGAATGGTTCGACCGGTGGCACATACTGGTTTGTGCCGGTCAATATTACAAATAAAATTATAAATACTCATATTTAAACATGACATTTAACGTCAATCCTTAAACATTTATACTTGAATCCAACAAATAACATCAATATTTAACTTTTATACTTAGAAAATAAATAAGAAAATAATTTTTTTCAATTGAATTCACTAAAATAAGGCCATTTTACTTAGAGATTCGTATATCGATCATGCCGGTCATACCAGTAGTGTCACACCAATTTTATGACCGGTACCGGTTGAACCAGGTTCAACAGGTGGCACGACGGCCGGCGTGACAACCATGTACGTAGGACTATCAGAGTTGTTTCCCATGCCCTTTTTGTTGATCCGACCGCCTAATTTCGGCTCTAATTTTCTTGCTTCTCGTCAAAGAGATTCACTAATCTTAGCCAAGAATCCTAGTAATCTATACATCCCTCTCATTGCATTAAGAAAATCCTGTTTCGTATAATCTTGTACGAATCACTTCCTACTTATATTGGATTCAATCCTCGATTTTGATACGATTTAATTGAAGTACTTTCGCTTATATGTCAATAACTTCAGAAATATTGAAGGTACTACTTTACGCTAAAAACATATAATCTTGCACGAGTCACTCCCTACCTATATTGGATTCAAATCTTCGATCTCGGTACTATTTATCATTAACAAATTTTCTTATACGTCAATCACTTCAGAAATGTCGAGAGACACTAATAAAAATTGAGATAGAAGCATGTAAGTAGAGGAATGAATCTGGTTTAAAGGAAAGTGCTACTCCAAAAGTTTTATTTTATTGTTTGCCTCATAATGAGAATTTTACACATGAATTATTTTGAGATCTGCCATTGCATAATTCTCAACTCTTTTTTCCATATGATTTAATTGCCTTCTTGGACGCCCATGGAATTCTCTGGATGAGGATCTTGTTTGGGTGGTGGGCAGAAGCAGTGGCCGATTTCGACGTTGCAAGCACATGCTCCCGGTGGGGCCTTGCAATCAGCATCAGTTTTGCAAGGTACGCTGAAGTTAATCCCTTCCACTCCAATATTATTACTCTCGCCACCTAAAGAGAGCACACGATTTTATTTTCATTAACAAACAAACAATAAACTTCTAGAAAATATAAAATTTAAGATAAAAAATTAAAATATACGTACCAAAAAGTGAAATAATTAAAACCATGATGCAGAACAACTTGAAATAAGCCTTTTCCATTATGCCCGAGAACCAACAGTCGCTTGATGGAGGAGATCTTTTGCCCTCTCCTAAAGTTCAATTGGCAAAATGCAGGATAATGTCGTCTCTTTTATATAGGGAGAGAATAGAGCAAGGATAGTTGGGGGGGAAAAAAAAATACTATATTGGTCTATAGGACTTTTGGAAAGTGGATTAAGACAAATATTGTTTCCCCTAAAAAATGATTTTACTCCTCACAGTAATAAATGATTTTACAAAAATAAACCGAAACGCTTCCTTTGAGTAAGGTTATAATAATGTTGGGACCAGATCAGGTCAGTAACTGATGGGTCAGTAACCCATCAGTAACCCCTTCCCTTGTCTCCACGTGTCAGTCCCTTTTTTTATTTAAATTAAATGTGAAAGGACAGTAAAGTAAAATTGTCCTTGCCCCTATTTATTGCCAATCCTGACTTTTGACCAGACCACGTCAGCGCCTCCTCTCTCCTCGAAAAACCTTTAATTTTCATTCTCTTAATCTTTAACAGATGATTTCTCACTCATTTTAAGTCGGAATTTAATTTTTTTTTTGCACAGTTAGATCAGATTAATTGTGCTCTTCAAAATGATATCCACTTTGATATTTTTTTGACATAAAAAAATTTGCCAGTTATTACCAGTCATACCATATGGTATTGACTGGTATTAAATAAGATCATACCGTTACCACCCAATACCATATGGTATAGTGCGGTAATATCAATATATATATTTCGTTACCACCCAATACCATATGGTATAGTGTGATAATATCAATATATATTTCGTTACCACCCAATACCATACGGTATAGTGTGGTAATATCAATATATATTTCGTTACCACCCAATACCATGTGGTATAGTGTGATAATATCAATATATACTTCGTTACCACATAATACCATATGGTATAGTGTGGTAATATCACACAATACCAATACAATACCATATGGTATAGTGTGGTAATTTCAGTATATAATTCGTTACCACACAATACCATACATTACCTTATGGTATAATGTGGTAATATCAATATATATTTCATTACCACCGAATACCATATAGTATAGAGTTATAATATCAATATATATTATCTAAAAGAAAAAAACAGAAGGAGGTAGAGGAAAAAAAAGCGTCTTCTGTAGTCTCTCATTTCCTCTTTCGCAATCAAGAACACCAAAATGCCGAAAAATGAGAAAGATCGAAATTGAGGCCAACGAGATGATGAAGAGAAGAAATGCAATGAAAGAGAGTGGTTGCAATTTTTATTCGTCCTGGAGCAAAAATATAAAGAAGAAGAGAAGGGAGCAGATTTAGATCTCAAAAGGAGTTTGAGAGAAAAAAAAGTAAGAGAGAGGATCTGGAAAAGAGATTGGGAGAGAAAAAGGAAGAGAGAAGGAAGAGAGAAAGATAAATGAGAGTTGCAGAGAAATAATGGTTTCTCTTTCCTTCTTTGAAAATGCAGCCATTTAATACGAAATAAAATAAAGAATTTAATATATAAACGGACAAAAATACCCTTCTCCACTTAGCATCCGGCCCAACCACACGATTGCCTGCCTCCTAGATCTACGATCACTATTTATTACTGACCTGTCAGTAACCAAGTGGTTACTGACCCTATCTCCTGCCAATAATGTTACCTTGTCTACACACTACACAACCTTAGACTATCAAGTAAGGCTGTACATTTGGTTCCATGTTTGTGATAACACATAATATATGCATCCTCAAGGTCCAATTTTCATGGCGTTTAAATTATGTAATTATTATACTCTGCTATTTTGGATTGTTATAGTGTTAATTGTAACTAATTGGTGACATTCTAGAACTTAGTACCATTTCGACATTTCCTCACCATTGGCTCGTACTTTGCTCATTCTTACTACATTATAATTTAAGTGTGTTTTCTTATCATATTTCAGCTCCTAACATGTCAAGGAAGGTTTGTATCAAATTTCGAGTTATCAAAGGCCGCTTGCACCATGCAACAATGGCCGCCCAAAGTTCGACAAAATCAGAAAAATCCTGTTCGGAGTAGCAAACGACGTTTTTTCGCTACGAAGGCGGGACTACCGTGATTTGCGGCTTGCAAGATCTTGAAAAATTATGTGGAATAAAAAAAAAATTCGCTACGATCGCCTACCCGAGCAGAAAGATACGTTCGTTTGAAGTTTCCACCTATGTTAGAATTGATCGGAAAAAAAAATCTGACCAAACCGCAGAGGGAGGGCGCAACGGTTTTGGACCAAACCGGTCCGACCCCAGGCGGTCATGAAAACCGCCCCATATTCGTGTGGTTTTCATTGAGAACCGTGCCCCCACCATGTGGTTTTTGCGAAAATGGTGCTATTTTTGGAATTTTTTAGGGTTGGGTGCTATTTTTGAATTTATTTTTAAACAGTGCTATTTTTGGAAAGAAATCCCTATTTTTCTTGCTTCTTAAAGTCAAAGAAATTCAATGATTTTAGCCAAATCTACATCCCTCTCATCGCATCAACAAAAAAGCAAATCAGGTTTCATAAAAAATCGATCTTGAAACTATTTACCTCTAAGGACTTTCGCTTATATGTCAATCACTTCAGAAATATTGGAGACATTACTACTTTTATGATAAAAATTGTATAATCTTGCACGAGTCACTCCCAACTCATATTCAATTCAAATCCTCGATCTTGATATTATTTACCTCTATTGACTTTTGCTTAGACTACAATCTTTTCAGAAATATCGGAAGACACTACTGTTGTAGGTATGGATCTTTGGTGGTGTACGTGAGGGATTAATATTAAGGGAAGAGGATTATGAGGTTAAGGAAAGGAGAGAATTGGGACGTGGGTTTGGGGTTTGGGATAGGGTCAGTAACCACTGGTTACTGACCTATCAGTAAACACTTGAGAGCCGTAGATCTAGGGGATGGAGGAATCGTGTGGTTGGCTGGACGCAGGGGTGGGGAAGGGCATTTTTGTCTGCTTTTGTATTTTTTTTTATTTATTCCGCATTTCAATGGCTGACTTTTCAATGAAAGAAAAAGAATAACCCTTTCTCTGCAACTCTACTTTATTCCTTCTCTCTTCCTTTTTCCATATCCTTTCTCTTTCACTTTTCCTTCTCTCTTACTTTTTCTCTCACAATCTCCATTTCTCTGCAACTCTACTTTATTCATTCTCTCTTCCTTTTTCCAATATTTTTCCAGATCCTTTCTCTTTCTCTATTCCATCTTCATTTTTTTCTCTAGCAATCGACAAATAAAAATTGAAGTGACCCTCTTTAATTGCGTTTCTTCTCTTCATCAACTCGTTAGCTTTAATTTCGATTTTTCTCCTTTTTTGGCGTTTGGTGTTCTTTGGTTGCGGATGAAATGAGATGAGACAGAAGACAAGTTTTTTTCTCTCTCTTTTTGTTTTCCCCCTTTCTTTTAGGTAATATATATTGATATTACCACACTATACCATAAGGTATTATGTGGTAACGAAATATATATTGGTATTACCATTCTATATCATATGGTATTACCACTCTATACCATATGGTATTGGGTGGTAACGAAATATATATTGATATTAACACACTATACCATATGGTATTGGGTGGTAACGAAAAATATATTGGTATTACCACTCTATACCATATGGTATTACCACTCTATACCATATGGTATTGGGTGGTAACGAAATATATATTGATATTACCACACTATACCATATGGTATTGGGTGGTAACGAAATATATTTTGGTATTACCACTCTATACCATATGATATTGGGTGGTAACGAAATATATATTGATATTACCACATTATACCATATGGTATTGGGTGGTAACGAAATATATTTTGGTATTACCACTTTATACCATATGGTATTGGGTGGTAACGAAATATATATTGATATTACCACACTATACCATATGGTATTGGGTGGTAACGAAATATATTTTGGTATTACCACTCTATACCATATGGTATTGGGTGGTAACGAAATATATATTGATATTACCACACTATACCATATGGTATTGGGTGGTAACGAAATATATATTGATATTACCACACTATACCATATGGTAGTAACGAAATATATATTCATGTGGCAAAAATTTCCATACCATATGGTATGCTCTTATTTAATACCAATCAATACCATATGGTACAGTCAAATACCATATGGTATAACTGGTAATAACTGACAAATTTTTTTTGTGTCCAAAAAATATCAAAGTGGATATCATTTTAAAGAGCACAATTAATCTGATCTAACTGTGCAAAAAAAATTAAATTTCGACTTAAAACGAGTGAGAAATCGTCCGTTAAAGATTAAGGGAAGGAAAATTAAATGTTTTGCAAGGAGAGAGAAGGAGGCGCTGATATGGTACGCTCAAAAGTCAGCCTCAGCAATAAATAGGAGAAAGTGCAATTTTACTGTACTGCCCTTTTCACATTTAATTTAAATAAAAAAGTGACTGACACGTGGGGACCATGGAAGGGGTTACTGATGGGTTACTCACCCATCAGTTACTGACCTGATCTGGACCCTGGGTTTGGGAATAGAAAGAGGAAAGGAGTTCTTTGGGAAGGGAAGGCTCGGCAGAAAGGAAAGAAGAAGAAGAGAGGAATAAGGAAATCTCAAGGTTTATTATGATTAAGCTTAATGAAAAATCACAAGTTCGATCCTCTCATAAAATTTTTTCTATAACTACCCTGATTAATTCCCATAATTTATTTCCCAAAATCCCAACTAATTGAAACAATCAAATCTCTATTAATCCGCATTTAACATAGGTTAATACCCTCGTTTGGCACGAAGTATAGCGTTAATGACAGTTATGGCCCCAGTTTTCAAATAAGACATCTCTGGCCCACTTTTGAAATTATCGAACAAATTTGGCCTGTGGAACGGGTTGACTTTCAGATTTGACGGTCAACAATTTTCTCCGTTGCTGACTCAGCACTCGACTCTGACGTGGCTTGTCCACGCCATTTACTAATTTTTCTTAAAAAAAAACATAAATGGAAGGGGAGACACGAGGACCACAGCAGCCCTACCCTTTTCCCTTCGATTGTCTTCTTTCTTCATGTGAAACCTACCATACCAGAGCTCCTCTGAAAACCCATTGGCGTCTCCAGCCCTCGTCGCCCGTGTTGCCGCCGCCAATCCTCTTCCTCTTCGTCTCCTTCCCTCGCCACCTGCCATCTATCGCGGCGAAGCCTCTTCATCGCCAAATCCAACCCTCGTCGCCGCCGCCAGCTCACTTTGTCGGCTTCCCTCGTCGCCTGCGAAGCCCCTCCGTCGCCAACCCACTACTTCGCGGCGAAGCCTCTTCGGAAGCAACCATGTCATCTGCTAAAAGGAGGGAAGGGGGAAGTTCAGCCGGTTCGAGTTCTACAAACACACCCATCGAGAGGTGCAAGCACAATGTTCCATGTATTGTGCAGATGTCTAGAACAGAGGACAATCCAGGAAGAATGTTCTATTCCTGCCCGTATTGGCAGGTATGTTTTCCGATAAGTCTCAATTTGTTGCCGAAATGGTATTCTTCTTTAAATTTAATCAAGTTCCTTCATGTAGGATGCTAAGGAAGGTTGTCGTCATTTTAAGTGGTGTGATCGGAGAACATCAGCAAATTCAAGTGTGCTTGTATCTTTTATGGAGGAGAATGCTCTGTTGAAATCGAGAATTTGTGAGATGGAAGCTGAGATTGTCACTTTAACTCAAGGAATTGAATGTCGTATTAGTGATGTTGAAGAGAAGGTTGAGAAGAGGAAGGATAAAAAGTTTGATATGGCCGAAGAGTTTGAAAAAATTGCTGCTACAAGTGCTCGAAGTTGTCTTGAATTGGAGAATTTGGGGCATACTGTTTGTACACTTCAGAGTAGGGTGAATCATTGTTATATCGGTATTAGTTTGCTGTGTGTTTTATACTCTATCAGTTGGCTCCTACGTGGGTAAAACGTGTGTAATGCAGTAGTTGTCGAGTTAGCTTCAAGTTGAGCAAGTTTGATGGCAGTAGTTGTCGCGTTAGCTTGTAATGTAGTCAAGGTCAACTTTGTTAGATTGTAATGCATTGAAGTTAAAATTTGTTTGCTTGTAATCCATTGAAGCTGTAGTTCGTTTTCCTGTAGATACCATAACCTGGAAACAAGTTCATGAACACAAACATACATTTTGACAAACAATGTCTTATGATCACAGTTGGGATCATAAAACCGACACTTGTCGATAATGGACACTTCCTCTTCCTCGCCAATGTTGCCACGAACATGATCTGAGTTTTCAGAACCCCTATAGACTGTTGCCTCAGACCCTTGAGCTTCATCATCACCCATATCACCACTTTGTTGAACCTCCTCTCCTTGTCCATCGGCGGCCTCTTCATCGACATTCACACTAGGTTGAACGGGCTCGTTCACCTCATTGGGGTCTACAAACAACTGATCAACTTCTTCCCCCGATCCAGTCTCCTCGAGCCTAGACCTCTGTAGCATGAGACGATAACGAGCCCGTATTTCATGATATTCCTCATCCGACGTTTGAGCTTCGTCTTCATCTATCCAGACGAACTCGGCTACGGCAGAGTTGTCACCCTCCTCATCTTCAACCTCCTCGCTATGCCCATAGTTGCCTCCCATCTCATGAATCAACTTGTTGCTTCAAAAAACAAAGATACCTCTCCTAGCTCGGCATTCACAAGTAGACCATTAATAACGTTGGCATCAGTGCGTATCTCGTGCAACCCATGTTCCATACTTTGTCCCAGAGACAAATACCACACCCTTTCCACCGACGAATACTCAAAATATGACATTTGATCAACAAGCAGATGGACTCGGTCGACAACCCCTCCAACATATATTGGTACCTCAGTAGCTGTATCCATCATTCCCCCATGATGAAATAACAATTCGATATTCATCCTGAAAATTTGGGCAAAAAATGGGTCATTTAGTGTTCGAAAACCCTGGTTTATTGACTCCACGTGACTCACGAAACACAAACACATACAAACAAGCACTTTAGAATTCTTAACCGAGTTCTCAGAATTCCTAAACAGAAAAGGAACAGAAACGGACATTGTTTATTCACATACAAACAAGCACTTTAGTATTCTTCACCGAGTTCTCAGAATCCCTAAACAGAAAAGAAACAATAAAGGACATTGTTTATTCACTTCTGCACTTTCCCAAATTCGATTCCAATAAGATAAAGTGTAGAAAACGACATTCAGAACATTACTTGTTTCAGCTGAAAAATTTCGTATCTGAAGTGGCTCCTTGCTCGACTGGTCCCACAAGAAAAATACTACACGAAGGACCAGTTTATCGCACGTGGAAGATAGGAGAGAGAAAAGGCTGATCGATGGTGAAGAAACGAATCCCGCCGCCGTGAAGATATGATGCTCGTGACCGGCAAAGACGAGAAAAGAAACGCGGCGCGACCATGAAAGGTCCGGCCGACCGCGCACTCGATTCTGATCGGCGGTGACTCGATCGGGCTGCGTGAGGAGGCGGTGATGAAGGGAAAGTAAGGGGATAAGGACGGAAGGTCAAGATTCGGGCCGACGAAGAGGAGAATCGAGTGCCATGCACTCTGATTTGGGTCGAATTCCGTTTCTGGAGAAGATCGGGGAAGGGGATACAAACGGGTGGGGTTTCGCAGGAGGAAGTAGGTCAAATGAAAGGGACGGGTAAGTGTGTGGTGGACCTCGTGTCTACCTTTCACTTTTAGTTGTTATTTTTGTTATTTTTTTTAAACTTAATGACTTAGAAATGTTCATAAAAAAGGAAATAACAATAAATGACGTGGACAAGTCACGACAGCGTCGGATGCTGAGTCAGCGACGGAGAAAATGGTTGACCGTCAATTCTGACAGTCAACCCGTCCCACATGCCAAATTTGTCCAATGATTTCAAAAGTAGGCCATAAATGTCTTATTTCAAAAATGGGGCCATAACTGTCACTAACGTTATACTTCGTGCCAAACTAGGGTATTAACCCTTTAACATAATACCCACAATATAGTAACTTCTAAAATATTCCCGCAACAACTACTTTTACGATAAAAATCGAGATAGAAGTAAGTAAGTAGAGGTATGAATCTGGTTTAAATGGAAGTACACCTGCGAAGTTTGTAATTAATTGTTTGACTGATAATGAAAATTTGGCACATGAATTATTTTAAGATCAGCTCATGCTAATTCTGAACTCTTTTTTTTTTTTTTCCATATGATTTAATTGCCTTCTCTGACACCGTTGGAATTCTGGATGAGGATCTTTGGATTCGGCTCTTGTTTAGGAGGCAGAAGCAGTGGCCGATTGCGACGTTGCAAGTACATGCTCCCGGTGGAGCCATGCAATCAGCATCAGTTTTGCAGGGTATGCTTATGTTAATACCTTCCACTCCAATTTTATTACTCTTGTCGCCTACAATGCACAATTTTATATTCATGAACAAACAATAAAATTCTGGATTTTTTTACCAGAAAATATAAAAATATAAGATAAGATTAAAATTTTACAAACCATGAGCAATATAGAGAAAATATACGTACCACACAGCGAAAGAATTAAAACCATGACGCACAACAACTTGAAATAACAATTTTCCATTATGCTCAAGAACCAACAGTCGGTCAATGGAGGAGATCTTTTGCCTTCTCTCTTAAATTTAAATTGGCAATATGCAGGATACAGAGCACATGATGAGGATGCTGTCTCTTTAGTCTTTATTTATATAGGAGATGAATAGAGCAAGGATAGTTGGAAAATACTATATTGGTCTACAATACTTTTGGAAAGTGGTCTAAGATAAGGAAAAAGAAAATGATTTTAGACCACCTACAATGTCGGTTGATAAATAGGATAAAATCATATAGTGTGGTAGGGAAAAGTGGAAAATATGTGAAAGTTGGAAAAATGGATGGATAAACCCACCAGTAAAAGATAAAAAGTGGATGGATGTGGGGTAGTGGGGGCGGGACATAAATGGTACTTTTTTTTCTTCTTCTGAAATTGCAGAGAAGTGTTTGTTTGAGTGTGTTTTTATCCCCAACGGACAATCCCGTATTATTGTAATTTCGTCATTAATGACGTCTTTTTTAATTAGTGATGAAAAAATTATGTCTAAATTAGAAAAATTATATCGAAATGTTCGTATTAATTAAATATCACTATTTATGTAAAAATAATGATCATCATATTAAAATAAACTGACGAATCAACTATAGATTGATTTTACAAAAAAGATGCTCAACCAATTATCCCTTTCCCACCCTCACATTGTGATCAAATCCTGCCCCCACCCTCCTTACCCTCCCACATTATAGGTGGTCTTATAAAACACAAAAAATTAAATCGATATCAATTGTACGCTTTCTTGGAGTAGGTTAATAATGATGTTTCCTCGTCTATAGACAACACACCCTCAGACTATCAAGTCAGGCTGGACATTTGGTACCCTATTTGTGATGAAACATAATTTACGCATATTTTAGGTCCATTAAATGACATATTGTGCTAATTGTAGCCAAAGGAATCAAAATTGAGATTTTGATCGTAAAATCTTATTATATTATTTAGCCATCTTGATCATTGTTTTACTATTAAATCTGTGGAATTCTTACCCAACTACACAAGTTCTAAAAAACTTTATAAAAAATGATAGTTTTTATATAAATTCTTGAGTTCTCCCTACTCATATTCGATTCAAATCCTCGATCTTGATACTATTTACCTCTAAGGACTTTCGCTTACACGTCAATCACTTCAAAAATATTGGAAGGGACTACTTTGACAATAAATATCTTATAATCTTTTATGAGTCACTCCTACATATATCGTTTCAAATCCTCGATATCATTACAATTTATCCTTAAGAGCTTTTGCTTATACATCAATCACTTCAAAAATATCGGAAGACACTACTTTTACTATTACTATAAAAATCGAGATAGAAGCAAGTCTGGTTAAAGGAAAGTCTACTCCGAAGTTTTTATTTTATTGTTTGCCTCTGATAATGAGCATTTTACACATGAATTATTTTGAGATATGCTCATGCATAATTTTGAACTCATTTTTACATTTAATTGCCTTCTTGGACGCCCTTGGAAGTTTGGATGAGGATATCTGGATTCTGTTCTTGTTTGGGCGGTGGGCAGAAGCATTGGCGGATTTCGACGTTGCAAGCACATGCTCCCGGTGGAGCCAGGCAATCAGCATCAGTTTTGCAAGGTTGGCTTATGTTAGCGCCATCCACTCCAATATTATTACTCTCGCTACCTATAGTGTAAGATTTTATTTTTCATTAACAAACAAACAATAAACCTATGGATTTGTTTACAATAATATATAATTGAAGTTAAAGAATCAAAATATACGTACCAAAAAGTGAAAGAATTAAAACCATGACGCATAACACCTTGAAATAAGCCTTTTCCATTATGCTCGAGAACAAGAACAATCGCTTGATTGATGAGATCTTTTGCCTTCTCTCTTAATTCTTAAATTTCAATTGGCAAAATGCACGATTCAGAGCAAGGATGAGGATGTCGTCTCTTTTATATAGGGAGAGTATAGAGCAAGGATAGCTGGAAAAATACTACATTGGTCTATAAGACTTTTGGAAAGTGGATTAAGACATATATTGTTTCCCACAAAAAATGATTTTCTTCCTCACAGTAATAAATGATTTTACATAACACAACAAAGAAACCGATAACAATTGTAACGGTTCCTTTGAGAAGGTTAACAATGATGTTTCCTTGTCTACATAGTACAACACCCTTAGACTATCAAGTAAGGAGTGGTTCCATGTTTGTGATAACACATAATATATGCATCTTCAAGATTCATTTTTCATGGCGTTTAAATGATGTGGAATTTTACAATGCTTTAAAGTATTGGTGTTTTAGTTTTTCTTCTTTTATGATACAATTTGAAGTTATAATTTTAATGTTATGGTACAATTCAGGTTGTACATATACTCTTTTGTATAAATCTCTTTATGGTACAAACTAAAGTTGTACCTTTATGTTATGGTATAATTTGAAGTTGTACCATAATATAAATATACAAATTTTTCCCCCGGTAATTAGCAGTTTCATTAAGCTCCCCTCTGTAGCTGAAAACCCAGCTAAGAGTCGAAAAAATACAGTTTGGTCAAAGCCAATACAAATAGGAAAAACTGAGAAAGGTTAACAAAGACAACTAGAGTAATCCGAACCCTTAACCCTAGACTCAAAATCTGGCTTCCCACAGCAGTACAAGATGATCTCTTCACGCAACTGTTCTGCTAACTAAGAAGATGATTTAACCTGCCCTCCAAAGCATCTTCTGCATCTCTCTTTCCAGATATAGGCCACACACCAACACCAAAACACAACCTCAACACAGCCATTGTCCCCTCCTGATCTTGCCCTTCTGCACATCAGCTGCAACATATCTTCCCATCTGCTGGTCAAACTAACTCTCTGCTGTAAAAGAAAATTCACAAATTCAACAGAATAACTACATTTACAAAGAGATGCTCACGGGTCTCTATGCCATTGTTACACAGAATGCACTGCTCATCCTGTAAGATCCCCCATCGTTTCAGTTTGTCTTTAGTAGCTATACGATCCAAAATAATCAGTCAAGCCAACACTCTATTTTTTGGTATAACAAACCTATTCAAGATAACCTTCCACCAATCAACCACTGGTTTTTTAGGCCTAATGGTCTGCCAAATGGTGGACACTGAGAATTTGCTCATCTGCTTCCCCTGCCATGTCACTCTTCCCAAGGAATCGACATCTAATCTGAACTGTACCCAGGGTCTGAGCTTCAGCAGCTGCCTCCAGATCTAAGAACTAGTCGAATTATTTGTAACTTGCCAAATAGATCCCCTTCTGATTCTGTATTTGTGAACCCAGGCTACCCAAAAACTGCCACCTTGAATGAGAAGCAGCCAGAGCAATCTTGAGACACAAGCCACATTCCAAGTTATTAAGTCTTTCATACCTAATCCTCCTTCCTGCTTGGGCACTGCCAGATTTTCCCATGCCACTTTTGCTCTACCAGTCCCATCTCCATGCCACAAGAAATCAACACATACTTTCTGAATTGCCTTGATCATTTTCTTAGGAAAAACGAAGATAGCCATCCAGTAATTGATAATGGAATACAAAACAGAGTCTATTAATTGGAGCTTCCCTGCATAAGACAACTTATTAGCTCTCCATCCTCGAATACGACTGGTGAGTTTGTCAACTAATTTTGAGCATTCCCTGCTGGTCAGTTTACCAGCAATCAATGGAAGTCCCAGGTAGCGTACAGGCAAGTGACCCTCTTTAAATCCTTATACACTTATAGCATTCTGCTTAAACTGGTTTGCCTGTCCCCCAAAGAAAACTTCACATTTCTCTGGATTGCATTGAAGTCCTGATAGATTATAAAAATCATCTAGAATTTGGCGAACTCTACTAAGGGCCATTGCTGACCCTTCTGTGAAGATCAGAAGATCATCCGCGAAGACAAGGTGAGTCAGACCTATATTTTTACACTGAGGGTGGAAAGGTAATTCATTATTTCCTGCAGCCCTATCCAACATATTCGAGAGTGGTTCCATGGCAATGGTGAAGAGATAGGGGGAGATAGGATCCCCCTGTCTCACCCCTTTTGCAACTTGAAAGAAACCAAAGGGACTCCCTTGAATTGTAATGCTAAAATAGGCTGATGAAAGACAAGTCCTGATCCACTGACAAAAAACTGAAGGAAACCCCACCTTCATCATCACACACAGCAAAAACTCCCAGTTTATTGAATCGAAAGCCTTTTTAAGGTCAACCTTCACAGCCCCTCTAGATGATATATGTTTTCTATTGTAATTTTGTACTACTTCCTGGGCCATGAGAATGTTTTCAATAATGCTTCTCCCCTGGATAAAGGCAGACTGATTCCTACTAATTATAGAAGGTAGTACTTTTTTGAGTCTGTTGGCAATCACTTTAGAGATTATTTTGTAAAGAACATTAATGCAGGCTATGGTTCGATAGGCAGAGAGATTATCTGCATTAGGTATCTTAGGGATAAGTGTTAGAGATGCTGAGTTCATACCTCTTGGAAGCTGCCTTGAAGCAAAGAAGTACTGAATCCCTTGGGTGATTTCTGGCCCCACCACACCCCAACAATGTTGAAAGAAAGCAGTGTTCCATCCCTCTGGCCCAGGGGCTTTGGATGGATTCATGTCAAACATGGCTGATTTAACTTCCTGAGTAGTGACTTTGTCACATAAAAGCTTTTGGTCTTCAGCAGATAACTTGTTTCTTATACAGCCTTCCAGAAAATTGTCATCCACCTTCACCTCTGAGTTGACCACCCCAAACAGCTTTTTATAAAAACAAACAGCTTCATCTGCAATATCTTGAACCTCAGTTATTTCCTCTCTACTGGATGCAATAAGTTTCCTTATTTGCTTCTTAGCAGTTCGGATTTTAACAGAGGAGTGGAAAATGAGAAGAATTAGAGTCACCTAACCCCAGCTAGTTGATACGAGATTTTTGCTTGTAAAACGCCTCTTTAGCTGAGGCTAAGTGGAGATATTCTTTTCTGATAATATTGACTTCTTCAAATAGGACCTCTGTAGGATGTTTAAGGGCTTGCATTTGCTTAGTCTTGAGGGCTTCCTCTTTTTCCTTCACTCTTTTAGATATGTTTGAGTATTTCTCT